AGAGAGACGCTGCGTGATTTTAAATTATTGACGGCCAGGATGAGGAGGCAAACAAATGAACGGCTTAAATGCCGTTTAACCGGTTCGGATTTAGTTACAAGGTATGTTGACCTGCCATCAAATTTGAAATCTAATAGCTCGCATCAATTGTGTGACGCCTTGTCATAAAGATAAAAAGTTCTTAGTATACAATTCTAAAAAAATAACCACAATACTTCTTAAAGTTGGGTTTAGAGACGTTCTATTAATTTGTATAAATAATAAGAATTAAAAAGTATAAAAGTATATCTAATAAAATCATTTACTCCTAGAATAAGATGGTCATAATTATTATGATCAATATGAGATTGAGTATTTGGAGGTGTGTCCTTGAATGTTTACAAAGTCTAAAACAAATTTTCACAAATGTTTTGGCAGGCTTTAATCTATCCGATTTCACATTTAATGACTAAAAATACTTGGGACCTACTCAAAGTGAATATGATCCCAAACACAAAATCAATTTATGGTTTTTTGGCCATAGGTAAATATGGACCACGGATCTATCCATTATGCAAACACATACGCATACCTAGGAATGATTGTGCTTGGCGGGGCAAGCTTTGCCCTGGCCAGGTCCATAGAGGCCTAGCTTGGGCCAGCCCAAATTGGGGCCGAAGGGCCCCAGACCCAAGCCTGAACTTGGGCAAGGGGCTAGATGGTCCGACTCTTACATGGTTTGAACCAATCCTAGCCTCGGAATGTTTTGTTCTTATTTTAAATAAATACTGAGCTAGGCTCATAGTGGTTTGAAAGTTGTACTTTTCAACCACTCAAATACATAATTTTCTTATGTTTCTAGTTATTCAAAAATCTAATTTTTCAAATTCAGGGTACAATGGGAACAAAGAAAAAAAACTTTAAAAAGCATGACCCCTACCTGTAAGAAATTATGGACCTTGCAAAAGTCATCATATCATAAATTTCCCTATATTTTATTTTCCATCACACAATGAAAAAGAACATCTAATTTTGCATGGGTTTCAACTGTGAACAGTGAAAATAACATTTGATTTTGCGTGGGTTCCATTTGCGAACAATGAAAAGAACATTTGGTTTCGCCTTGGTTTCAGTTATATCAGGAAAGCGTAGCAAAGCCTATCATATTGTTTCTGCAGTAGCTTTTCTTCCAATTGAAAGCCTTTAATGAAAAGCACATCGTTTGGTTAATGAGTAGAATAAAAGCCTTTAATGGCACATCGTTTGGTTAATGAGTAGAATAATTGTTGATAGCTTGTCAAAGTAGGAAGGAAATAATCTCGAGGCTTTGTGCTGGCAATTAAGGTAGTATTGAATAGAAACAGCAATTGAAACTAGGTGCATATTGATTACGCATAGACCCTAGGCAATTTGGTGGGTTGCGCTCAGGTCCAATTCACCTGGATCCAACCTGGGTCTTAGACCTAGTTGGATTGGGTTTGGAGTGGGAACTGACCCAGACCCACCCCCCAACTGGACAATACCTAACTCATTTACAGCCCTGTTCTGTATTGAAGGACTGGAATTATAGGTCCATTTATCTTTTGGGAGGGGTGAGAACCTGCTATCGATCCCTCTCTCAAATATACCCAGTCCGCATAGAGAAAAAAAGGGGGCCTAGTTTGGCCCCAAATGAAAACAAGTAGGTGGGTCAAAACTCACGAACGCTTATAGTACTACCGATGATGTTTCGTTGGCAGAATCAATAATCCTAGGCGTATTACTAGAAACAAGTCGCTGATGTAGCCCCCATATATGCAGAAAAAATCTAGGGGCAGCACATATGACAATTTCTTGATGCAAATCTTCTGTCTTAATATGCGGCCACACAAGCAAACAGAGCACACCACTGTATACAACAAGAGCTCCTTTTGACAAACAATTTCATTTCTCATTTCCAGATTTATAGTGGCTCCTCAAATGAATGAGAGAGAGTGTGAGAGAGCCCGCAATTATATACAACAAAACTCTCTGACAACGATCTCTGGTAGTGTCCATCTCAAACTGCACACAGCAGTTTGTCCGAACCAATCCCATCAGGATTGTCTCCAGTACAGTGGAAGTTGTCCGCAACATCAAGTGACCACGAAATGCGAAAGATTGCATGTCGAACGGCAGCTGAGGCAGGACGGAATGACTCAGGCAGAGGAGGAAGGCACTCTGGAAGATATTCTTTCTTGTTCGACGTTGGAGCATAGAGTGAGATGGCACCCCGACAAAATATAAATCTAAGAAACAACCCACATGAAATCAATACAATGTGAATCACGACCACTCAATCCAAAATTAAATTTGTCCTTGGAGAAACAACAGAGAAAAACGGACAGTTTTAATTGTCCAAGTGTAGACCATTTGCCTAAAATAATTGTTCCAACTCTTTCCATTTGCCTAAAGTAATTGTTCCAACTCTTTCTTTGCTGTTATTTATTTTATTTACCCCTTCAAGTATCTAGCATTGTACCCTATGTTTTGGTGTAATGCACAGGGCAGAAAGTTCACTGGTCTTTTTAGTCGAGGATATTACCGAAGAATGAGCCGCCTTAGAAAGGGATCGGTTAAAACGTGAGCCCACACTGGATCAAGTGATTCAGAATCTGCCAACATTTTGCCCCACTCATCAAATGACGAGGACAGCATCTCATCAACTTTGTTAAATGCATCCTGATCATTTTACCGTACAAAAACACCCATTAGAATACATGCAAAACCCGGTAAGAGTGGAAAATCTAAAGCACCCTATTTGAAGTAAATCTATCAAATAGATACTTGGCCAAGTATCCTATAGCCCAAAGGACTATGAAAACCATAGTTCCTTGGGGGTCATGACCGTCCGTTCAAATGGTCGGAGGTGATGGAGGCAGAACGGAACCCACATGAACAAGGTAACTCAAAGGTAAGTCCCACAGTTTCTCTCCATCAGAATCCACCATTTCATCAGACAATTACAGCCCCATTAGACTGATTTTCCATAGTTGATTGGACTATAGTAAACTTCCACTTGTTAAAAGAGCTTCATGAAAAGCTTACCATTCCAAGGTTAAAGCCAGGAACACCAACCAAGAGGCAGAAAGCCTGTAAAGGGGCAGTGAGAAACATTGTGAATTGGCTTCCATTGTTTGGCTGGGAGGTTGAATCAGCATCAGCAGCACATGGAGATGGAAGGGTAGGGGAAAGAAGTAAAGCAACAGTTTCTCCCATCTCTGCACCACTTATGGCCTGGAAAATTTCAATAAGTCTCTCTAGTTAAAACTTCAAAATAAAGAAACACATACGAGCTGGTTGGAGATTCAATGTTAATAATTAGAGATGGTTTCATTTTCTTTTTGCTACTCATGAATTTTATGTGAAATCCATGCAGAAGATGAATGCCCAAAAACATAAGAAAATCGCATGGGGTTTTGAGGGAGAAGAAACATATTTTGTTCAAACTTCAAAAAATTTAGCCCAGTACAGGACCCCATAACAAAAAGGTAAACAGTGACTAGTAGCTATTACCTTGCATGTCTAGTTTGGGGAGCAAAATATTGTTTTCAAACTTCTCAAAAAAAGGTAATTTCTAAGCAATTATATATATTGACTTATAAAAAGATTGCTTAGAAAAATATTATTGATATAAGTGATATGTCTAGCTTGGGGGCAATGGACCCCTTCTCTTGTATTTGATGCGTAGATCTGCCCCTCAATGAGCAAATGGAAATAGGATCATAAGCTACAAAAATCTTTAAAAGACAGAAGGCACCTTCCACAAGTCAGTGCCAGTGCCTATTCGTGTCTTGAAAGGCTTGGTCTCTCTTTCTCATTGTGTGGAAAATAGTTAAATAAGAAGATAAGAATCAACAAGTCATTAGCATACATGATTGAAATATCCGAATTTTCATTCAGTAAATTAGGTAAGAGATTTTACTGAACTGCAAATGTTATAATAGCCTAGGTTGGATGCCTATGCTTAACTCCATTCCAATTTTTTTATTAAGTAATATTACTATCGAAATCATTATTTTTTCCTTTAAAGAGAAATATATTTTTCTGCCGTAGGTCCTCATATCATGGCTCAAATATGAAAAGAGGACTTCCAATGGAGCAAATCCAGACAAAACATGTGATAAAGTGTAAACAACCTGCCTTGAATGCATGACTACTGTCACAGTCAACAATCAGAAAAAGCGGCCGTCTTGTGAAAGGGATTATGTCATTAGGGTAAAGATTGTTCAAACCTGAAATTTGTGAAGACAATGATGTTAAATGAGAAAAGGAAAATCACTACTAGAATGAACATGAACTATACTACCATTCGGTGCACCAAGAGAAAACCATAGTCCAAATGGTCAATTGGTCACTATCATCCATGAAAATGATGGTGATAATGGAGAGATAAAGAGTGGGACCCACCATAACAAGAAATGACCTAAAATGGTCACTCCCACTCTCTGCAACCTCCATTTCAATAGTTGGTGATGAAACCAATGAACTTATGGTTTTGCCCAGTGTTTCAAAATTCAGAACGGAGGGCGAGTCGTTCATCCATAGATCCATGTAAGATCGCTGGATTAGCAATCCCAATCTTCTCTAGATTAATCCAAATTGGTGATCGAGAAAATTATCTAAAAATAAATGAGATCAAATAAAAATCGAAATTGGGGTTTATGAGGCGGGGATTTAGAGGGGAGCTAAAAAACATCAGGTAA